AGTGGAGGCACGTTTGACCAGAGTTATCAAGAGAGCTTGCAAGTTCAAGCCTCCTACTTTCACCAAAATAGGAAAATATTATATCTAAGATCTCGGTATGACCGGCATACGAGGCCCTGTGAATCGGGGTAGAGCCTTCTGAATTCGTCCTGGCGAAGGGATCAGCCTGGGCATCCATTAAGATTCTGCAGCACTCAACAGCATTGTGTCGACTCGCATAATGCTAATTTACATAGTGTAGCTCTATTAACGATTTTACCAGAGGTGTGTATCCATATTTATCTGTGTCGTTAACTCTAAAAGGACCAGAAGATATAAGTCTTTTAAGCCTCTGACAGTCTCCTTGGAGTGCGGCCATCCAAGGCCCCCGCTGAAAATTTACCTCATCAAGGTTTTGGTTCAATGAGGAAGAATGAAAATTCGAACATGAATGAGAAGAGCAATCTGAAGGATGGGAATGGGAACTCATGGAAATTGATGGGACCTAATGCGAGGGCAAAGCAAATAAAAGACGAAATGATTATATAAAATAATGTTAGCCTTAGCATACTTTCTGATCAAAAGTAAATAATACAATTTAGTTTATAAGAATATTTTATTATAATTATGAATTAAACTTAATGTGTTTTTGAATAAAGATACATTTTTTAATTTGTGTTTAAGATAACTCTCCACTTTCATTCCTGATTCTCGCCGACTCTTCTCCCTCTCACTTTCTGGTACGTGATCCCGCTGGTACCCGCTTCCCCCGTCTCCCTTCTTTTGCCGTGACCCTTCTTCTATTAATCACATCATTGCCAACATGGTGTTTCTTCTTCTAGCATGTCATCACTATCGCGGGCAGTAACGAAGGCAGTCCAGCAATACAAATCTCGCCTCGCGAGACTAACCCCAGGACGGTATGCCTTGGAAGAAAAGCAATACTATCTGGGCACATATCACCAGATAGGGATCTATTCTGATGATGTAGTGCCTGCAGCGAACAAACGGGCAATTGAGTGCGTTCGCAGGCTGCCTTCAGATGTGAGAAACGAACGAGATTTTCGCTTTCACAGAGCCAGGCAACTTCAAGGTCGCAAGCAAATATTGCCTAGTGATCAGCACATAAAATTTGAAGATAATGCTCCTTATCTTGAGCCTTATTTCGAGCTGATAAACCTCGAGGATGATGATCGCTATTCATGGGATTCCTTTAGCAAGGCTTCTGTTTACAAACCGGAGGGGATAAGGCTTGCGCATCATTGATTAGCTGAATGCTACCATTAGTCATTGAGATGTTAGACTTTCGATTTCCTAAAATAAAGAGTTTGCCCAGTCTTACTTTTTGAATCAGTTAACTTGCCGAGCTGACTGTCCTCTTTCTTTAGCTCTACGATGTCCGTCACTAAGATACACGCACGCCAAATCTTCGATAGCCGAGGAAACCCCACCATCGAAGTTGATCTGACTACATCCAAAGGTCAGGTGCCAGGTCAAATGCTTACCATGATTAATGTTGCACTAGCTTCTCATTTTCAATGCATATTTCAGGTGTTTTTCGGGCTGCGGTTCCAAGCGGAGCTTCAACCGGAGTTCATGAGGCACTCGAGCTCCGAGACAATGGCAAAGGCTATATGGGAAAAAGCGTGATGAAGGCGGTGGACAATGTCAATAAGGTTATCGCGCCTGAACTTATCAAGAAGGGGCTGAATGTCACCGATCAAAGTGGTATCGATAACTTTATGCTTAAGGATTTGGATGGAACCGACAATAAAAGTGAGAAGGCGCTGCGCTAAAATAGTTATTCGTTTGCATCTCACTAAT